AAACGCATTGGAGATAATCTACTGTTTAATTGGCGGGAAGAGCAGTAGTTCGGCTCTGATAGACTATTAACTCAAGACAATGCAATGTTTATTCTCCACCAATGAATGCAAACAAGTAAAAGAAAATGGGGTTCTTCCATATTGAGACAGAGTTCAGTCAAAAACACTAGTGCGAAATAGAACCTGACTGACATGGATTGAGCGTTTACAAACACTTGAGTGATTGGTCTCTGCCCCTGTTTGTTTCACAGATTAGTCAATTGCATATCAATGTGTCAGACACAAGGTCACACAGCCACTTTAATGATTTTGGTGTTCTTGTTTACTGAATTATAGCTATCCCATTCCTTAATTTTTTGGGTTTCCAATAGTCTCATACATTTGGATGCCCCTACACATGTTAAAACAGACATTGATGTGAAAATAAATCGGTTGCGCCGATAAACAAGCTTGAAAATCGTCGCCATGACTTTATCAACGTTTTGTAGGAGTTTACGTTTTTCAAAATACAAGGTCTTTAACAAAACGTAATGTATACTTATTGTCGTTGTATTAACACCAAATTTTCACAGCTTTAAGGTGACAGTGAGAAGAACTTAAATGTGTCCAGACAAACTATTTTGTGGATTATTCACCAACTTGTTGTGGTTTGAGTTGGGACAAACTGAAATTAAAATTCAGCATGCAACTTTTTAAAACGCATTGCTTGAATGAAACTGACAAGACACATTTAATTTAGCAGACTATTGAACAATTAAGAAAAGTGAGAAAAAAAAATATTTTTTTTTCACAGGAAAAGTATTTTTTTACATTTGAGTGTGTAACTCCTCATAGAATGGAGATACAGTCCTGAAAAATACAGCTTTTGAAAAGCTTGAATTCTGGCAATTCCAGAAAAATAGACTGGATCCTGGATCTTTTTGTAGTCATTTAGTCACAATTAGAAGATGGAAACAAGTACCGGTATGCAACTAATAGTCTCGCTACCTTAAAATATATACTAATGCTGTTTTCTGTTTATATTTTTCAGTCATGGGATATCTTCTTCCGAAATGCTCAGGATGGTGCCATGCCTGGTACAGCTTACCAAACACCACAACCTATAACCGTCCCACTTTCTGTGTCACCTGAAATGCCGGGTACCAGCCGTCAAGTGCAGGCGATGCCTTCCATAACAGTGGACAGACAGCTCATCGAAGACCATCTTGTTGTACAGAATATTATCAGGTCTTATCAGGTAATAAAATGCAACGTCCATGTACAGTCATCAAAATAATATGCTTTGCATTATCTGGGTAGAAAACATTTCCTACTGTAATTGCACATTGCACATTAGATGAACGTCTTCTATGTATTCATTTCTCCCCACAGATTCGTGGACATAACATTGCACAGTTGGATCCCCTTGGAATCAGTTCTGTGAACCTTGATGTCAATATCCCTACAGAGTTGACCCTTCAGCATTATAGGCTAGGTGAGATACAGTTGATATATTTGACAGTATTGCTTCATAGTGCGATTATTATTATAAAAAGAAGGATGGTAGTGAGAAATTGCACAAAATCATTGAATATTTGTTTAATATTTTAATGAGCTTGTTTAAATTTTTCACAAATTTAGCTTTTCTTGAATGTTACCCTCGGAGATATCTTCTGATCTTTGTATGGATAACAACATCTACAAATTTG